GTGGCGGATGCCTTCAAGTCTCTGATCGAGGGCCTCCTGAACTGATTAAGCACCAAGTGATCCGGCCGGCCGGACGCAAGTCAGGATGGACCGACTCGCGGGGCAGCGCCAAGCTTCGCAGCCCACCCGCAGTGCCCGCCCGCCTGCCTCCCATCCTGACCCCGCTCCCCATTTCCGGTCCTCTCTCCCTGCAGCTCCCCTTCTCCACTTCCCGCCACCCACAAGAACAGCGACCCCAATGCCCCACTGCGGACGTCTGGGTGGGCTTTCCTTCGCTAGCTCCCGGGAGATTCCGCGACCCACAGTGGCGGGGGAGTTAGGGGTGACCCTGAAGACTCAGAGTACAAGTGGCAGCAGTTCTTTGCACCTCGAGAGCTTGCCCAAGACCGGTTTGAGAACCTGTAAGTCGGTGACTTGCACGGATCCACAGCGCCCACTAGCGCCCACTTTTGCCCCTCTGTCTACAAGAACAAGCCTCCCCGCTACCGGATCAAAAACACTTGTTTAAGGTGCACCACAGCAAGGCTCTAGAGCACCGGTAGGCAGAAGGCACAGTCCACGATCCTACAAAAAAACAACAACCTGATAATGTCCGTCAATACCAGAATTTCTGAAAATGGAACCAGGCAGTTTTCACACCTATTTAACACAATTCCTACCCAGTTAAATATGAAAGTATTTTTACTGTCTAGTGTTTCTTCCCCAGCCCCCTTCATCCTTTATAACAAACTCAGAACCTTTAAAAAGTGCTGCCTTTCAAAAACCTTAATTTTAATTAATGTGTACTGCAACTAGAGATGGTTTGGAAAGACTAGTCTAAGACCAAAACACTACAGCACCCGAAATATGGAATGGGCTCACCGGGTTAAGAAAGTCTTTTTTGTAATCACTATTTTTAAGTAAGCCTGAACCCAGGGACTCATGCTAGGCAAGGGACATGGACATACACGCACGCGCGCGCGCGCATTGGAAGTAACTGTCTTTAAATTCCAAGACTGAAAAACTGGCAGGCATTGTGGTGGGGGGTGGGGCACTTGTTTTAAGGATTTTACTTAACCTAGTCTGAACGGATATTCAGTATGTTATGAAATTTAAGTTGTGACCTCTTTGCTCCCCTTACATCCTCCCCGGTAAACCAAAGGAAACTTGTAATCTCTGAGAATAACCCAGTTTCCAAAAATACCATTTTCAGTAAACCAGATATTCTGACACCCAAAGCATTTCACCTTGAGAACAATGTACACATACTTTTAAAAAAAGTCACACACAAAATATTCCTGTATGACTTTTCAGGGGGACATGGACTTTTAACTTCAGTGAGCAGATACCTGTGGCCACGAAGATCCAGTACTTGCTAACCTAAAATTCTGGTCCTCAACTGCAGTCATTCTGAAAACTGAAACACAACCTCAAGCCATTCATATCTAAGGTTACATCTATAACAACCCCAAGCAAAAATGTCATAGGGCTATGTACAAAAGGTAATCGTAGAAAGAAATTCTAAAGCCTGGCCACACCAATTAGTATCATGCCTCTGCACTGGGACCTCACTGCACAAATAAATTCTTGGTTTGTTCTGAAGACAGGACACAACTCTGTGCCAAAGGACAAGTACTCAGCAGAAGTTAGTGATTCCGTAGCCGAGGAAGTTTCTCAAAGCCAATAAAGGCCTGGGAATTTTAAAAGTGCAATCTATTATAAAAGAGAATATAAATGATTTCTTTAGAGGAAGGCAGCAGAGCCGAAGGCTCAAGAGAACTTACAACAAACCAGTCCCCATACTTCTTATTCCTTAGCTGCTAATTAAGCAAAGTAAAGGGTCATTTGCTAAGAAATAAGAACCATGGTTACTCACATGTGCAGTGAGGGGAATCTTTCATTCTAATCTGGTAAGTACTAAACTGACATATTTAACCAAACAATTTGGCCCTGTGAAACTAAAGTGTATCAACATGCAGTGCTCTTTAATTTACTGGTTTCACTCATTAAGAGTTTTTTTTTTTTTTAAGTATGAAAAATACAATCACTACCACATCTTCCAATCAATGATCTTTTCAAACAGTGTTAGTCAACTCAACAATGACTCTTAACTTGTAGAGCACTCTAATACATAGAAAAGCACTGGGGTTTGCTTTAGAAAGAATTTGGGAATTGGGAGGACTCTGTCCAGATTTGTGCCATTTCACAAATCACTTACTCTAGTAACTGTAACCTCACTGTACACCACACAAGAGGGAGAGCATCCCAATCATGCCAAGCAAATGGCAACTTGCTACAAAACATATGGTGCTGTGCATTAGCCAATGAAACCAACATTAGGGTTCCAGTGTCCATCACCAGGACAACTCACTTCTAAAACCATCAACACGCATCACAGATGGCAAAGGAATCAAGACCAGTTAAATGGAATTCCAACAAATGGAAAGATAAGCCTTCTATTGCTGGGGAAACCTATATCCATCTCCCTGTGTTTGCCCTTCAGCAATACTTTCTGGTCCTTTCCAGTCAGTAGTAAACCTAGTATCAAGTATTCACGTGACTTCCTGAAGTGGGTGGTAATTCCCATCTTCAGCAGTCTCATGGCCAGTTATTCAAAGTGCACAAATGGCTCTGGGTAGAAAACAACAGAATTGGAGACAACTGAATACCAGAAGCTATAGCTAATAGCAGCATGTAAAATGTTCATTGGTGGCCACATAGACACAGGCAGGACAGCACATGTGTGCATACATGCACACAGACACATATACACACAGCATATACTAGTACAGTTCAGAACAGCAACAGGCTCACTTGCTACATCCTAAGGGAAACTATAGTCCTTGCCTAGGAACCTTCATTTGAAGCATTGAAGAGTCCTCACACCAAGCTAATTTAAAGGTTTAGTTTATACAGTCGAGAATTCTGCAAACTCTACAATATTAATGGCAATAACTACAAATTTTAAATACTATAATAAAAGTAAACAGTCAATAGTTAATTCTGTATTTCATCAAAAATTTAAAATAACTCAAGAAAAAACTGGGAATTAAAGGGAACATCTGAATAGCTAATAAATTGTGATAAAAAAAAAAACTCTTAACCTTTATAATGTGTACACAAAAGTGGTCTAACAAATGAAGAAAACAAATTACTACATTGTTGTAGCACAGTAAAAGGTGGGTGCATATTATTAACAATGACATCCTTTTTCCTGTAGCCTGGTGGACAACAGTAATCAGTTACTAAGCACAGGAACAATTGAATATCTAGGAGTCTCTAACAGTAGACATTGAGATGTGTTATTTAGCCACTGTGATTTCTTTTCACATGCAGCAGAAGAAACGTAATGACGGAATAAAAGGCACGAAAGGCTGATGTCAAGTATTTGATGCCCAGGCTACTCTGCAGATACAGTGCTGGGAAGACAAGCAGAGCAAAAGCAACTTTAATGGACACTTCCAAAACCTTGAATATACAACCGAGGAACAATGAATGTGAATTGAAAAGTTACATCAAAAGAATAAAGTATAGGAAGGAAATAGTTTGGGCTAACTTATGTTGAAATTAAGTATTATAATCTATTCAGGTAAATGAAGTAAGTATGTATTTAGAGTGACAGGGTATCCAGTTACTAAAACCTCACTATACCTCATGCCTATTTAAAATTCTATCATTCTTCATCTTATCGAAGAATTGAAACTAAAGCAACAGCATTTTCCATAGCATGCAAACACAAAATAATCTACCATTTAATCATCTCAAGCAACATTTTTAATGTTAAACAATGATATGACTATCTCCGGGGACAGGGGTCTTCAAGATGCCGTGCCTAAGTACCTCTGATAGCATTTTATGGCCTTTCCTTGAGTGTTAAATACTAGTAAGCTTCAACAAATGAAAAGATGAGGCAGATTCTGCTGTATAAAATGCAGGTTATCGCTAAGTTTCCACATGCAAGAATACTCAAACAAAACCCCAAGCCAAAAACTGAGTGATTTTAAATATGTTTATCCCACAAATAAACATGCATGGATAAAGATTATTTTAGCCCTGTTGAACATACAAAGTCAAGTTCTATCTGATGGTCCACCCTCTCTGAAAGTGACTTAATAGTCCATAAATTTTAAAAACATACTTTCTAGTGTTTATTAACTATAATTTGTGGCAATAATACTTATTTTCTATAACAGAGGCACAAGTTTAAGATTTTTCAAAGATAATACTTGATGTTTTAACTCTTATCAGCATAAAGTAGTATCTGTAAAAATAGCCAGTAGTACTAATTCACAAGTATATTTAATGTACATAGAAACCCTGTGAAAAGTATAAACCAGAGGAAATCTAGTACAGTTCTAAGGCTTCTAAAGTAAACCACCCTTTAGACTTAACAGAACTTAAAAAAAAAATTGCTTAAACATATGAATTTAAGACTTCACTTTATTCAGCAAAATCATTTATTTACAGTGGGGAATGCTGGTTTGATTTTGTCAATGAAAGAAACAAAAGTCCGACAGAGACCATACTGCACTGTGGGTACTTCTGTAGCAGGTGACAAACTGTTATCCTTACCTGTTATCAGGAACACCAAGAGCCACAGTATCACAAGGACAAAAAAAAATTGCTTAAACATATGAATTTAAGACTTCACTTTATTCAGCAAAATCATTTATTTACAGTGGGGAATGCTGGTTTGATTTTGTCAATGAAAGAAACAAAAGTCCGACAGAGACCATACTGCACTGTGGGTACTTCTGTAGCAGGTGACAAACTGTTATCCTTACCTGTTATCAGGAACACCAAGAGCCACAGTATCACAAGGACACTGCTGTAACAACACCACACAGGTCCAGCAAAACCCTGGGAATTTTGCAATGCAATTACCAACTTTTTCTTTTTTTATAAATGTATAAAAAAACAAAAAGTCAGCAAAACCAGCATTATGACGTAGTAAACAGAGTATAACCCCAAAGTCAGTGGTCAGTGAACACCTTACCAGACCAAGCTATTCATCAAGTGACCTGCTCTTCAGCAGACCATCAACCAATACAGAATCCCAACAGGTGAAAAATACACCACTTCTAGAAGACAGCAATGATCTGATAAGGATTTGACGTAATGGGAGGAAAAGAGGGAAAAATAAAGGGATTGCAGAGCATAGCCCCTATTAGAACAAGCTAACTTTCCAGACTTTCCAAATTAAAAAAAAAAAAAACAAAACAAACAAAAACAAAAAAACCACTTCAACATGAAGCTACAATACGAAGTTTTTTCATTTTTCTTTGTAAAAAGTTCAGAGTCTGCCATTCAATCCTGGGTTTTTAATGAGAAGGACAGTTTTGGCCTGGACTTCCCCTTGCCCAGGATAATTTTTTGCTCTTCTTTTTGTTGGCGTTGTCGTTCTTGTTCTAGTTTCATCCTTTCCTCATGAATCTTTCTTTGTTCTTCAACAATTCTCAATTGTTCTTCGGCCTGAAAGTTAACATAAGAATGAGATCAGTTATTCCCTTCTCTCAGTATCTTTTGACTACCAGGTGACAATCTACAACTTACATGAACATACAGAGACCAGGAGAGGAAAAAATTAATTGAGGAAAGAATTTAATTATCCCTATGTATTTTCTTTATCTCAAGTTTATGAATAATGGATTTTATGGACTTCATCCCTTGAGTATAGACTTGATTCTGTCTTTATATTATCAAGATTCACAGTTATCTAAAGGCACAGACTTAGTCCCAGAGTATGTATCTACCCAATTACTGTATTTACAATTACATAAACATATACAAGAATTGTAGCTAAAAATTCCTACTGTGCCTCGATATTATACACACAATAGTAACCAAGAATTTAACCAGGTGGTGGTCGTGCATATTTTTAATCCCAGCACTCAGGAGATCCACTCAAGTGGATCTCTGAGTTCAAGGCCAGTCTGGTCTACAGAGAAAGTTCCAAGATAGCCAGGGCTACATAGAGAAATCCCGTCTCAGAAAACTAACAAGGAATTTTTCTAAGACCTAATTTCTTGGAGTGAAAAAAAAAAAAAGTAGCAAATGTTTTGACCTAACAGATTATAAAAAGCTATCTAATTTCACATCAGCTACAGTATTAACTCCTGAGGCACCTTTAAAGCCTTCAATCTCAAGCAACTGACTAACGTTCTCTCTACAGGAGATGTCCCTTGTTAACCATGAAAAGTAAAAGTATTCAATTTGCAACTCCTTCATCAGGGCCTTCCCCTCACTTCCAAAGACCACTTTCACCTCAATTCTTTGTCCTTCTCCTAAAGGACATTAGAATAAATTAGCTGACGATTCTGGGTCTTAAAAGAGTGGGAACAGCATCCAGAGAGAAGACAGGGACAATGCATGACAGCCTGCACAACAAAGCATTGCCCACCATCAACGTTAACAGTGTTATTAGTAAGAAAGGCTGTTTTAACCCCTGAATGTCTCCATAAGTCATCAACCACATTCTCCCATTTTTGCTGACTTTGACCTAAAACACTTACTTTGTGCTTTTGTGCTTAGACCTGCCCTCTTTTCAATTCAACTTCTGTCTCATGTCTCCAATGAGCTCTTCCACATATTCTCATATAAAACTACTGACATGCTCCATTCATCAACAGTTCTCTGGTCCCCTTTGTTTCTTAAAGTAAAATGCCAAGAACTTTGGCAACACAAAATGCAAAATCATGTCTGAGGGTATCAAAATGGACAGAAAGACAGACAGGTGGTAGTGCAGGCTCAGAGTCCTGTAAACTTAGCTCCAGGAGGAAAGGGGAAGGCACTGAGCAGTGCCCAGAAATGGGCCAGATAAAAACCCAGAGCACTGATGCACACCCCATTCTGTCTTCTTTCTAAGCTACTTTGCAATAGCCTGAAAAAAAAAAAAAAAATGTACCGAAGGGATCCAACTGCCCCCAAACTCTACAGATTTTAAGTTATTCTACCCATTCTGTCTATCCTTTGTGACAGCCAAGTTCTTTTTCCCCTTTTCTAATTTTAAAATCACTTATTCATTTAGTGGATGGAGAAACACCACAGCAGAGGTGTGACCTCAAACTCAGGTAAGCTTCTGGGAGCATTGTGACAACTCCTAAGCTCTGTTCTGTCCTGTTCTCCCCTGAAACAATCCATCAGGTGCTCATGACCAAGTTGTCCATTCTTTTACTGTCGCTCTGGCTTTGAGAGTTTTTTCAAGTCCACAGTCACCACGCCTATTAAATGTTATGCGTTTCCAGTGCATCTAAAATGGTGAGACTGTTCCGGTTGTACCCAGTAATAAGAGACCCCTTTGCCTTTAATTTCCCAGTGATTTCTACAGAAAAAGAAAATTCCAGCTGAACTTCCAAAATTACTGTGCCCTGTAAGCAGTGAGACTGCCACTAAAATCCTACCTTCACAAGAAATTCATTCAAATTGCCATCTTCCCTAGCTTTACTAATGATCCTAGCACAAAAAGAATGGTATATCTGGGGCTGGGGAGATAGCTCCATGGATAAAAATCGTGATAAGGACTATAATTCAGATAATCAAAACGCACACCTAAATGCCAAGCAGGTGTGGAGTCAACCGCTGCCTGAAGCTGCGTAGTGTAACTAGGTGACAATAGGTGAGCTTCTGATTCATTGACTGAAGTCAAGATATTGAGCAGACATAAACTTGAAGCTAGCCAGGTGGCAGTGGCACATGGATCTCTGTAAGCTCAAGGCTTGCCTGGTCTACAAAATGAGTGTGAGTCCCAGGGCAGCTAGGGATACACAGAGAAATCCCATCTCGGGAAAAAAAAAAATAAACAAACAAAAAACCCTCTATGTCAACTATCTACATCAAATTATGTATTTGAGGTGCCAGCACTAGATATTGAACCAAGATGCATGTGTGAGCACATTGGGAAACCTATGGCAATTTTAAAAAAATTATTATGTACACAATGCATATATGCATGTCTGCATGCCAGAAAAGGACATCAGATCTCATTACAGGTGCTTGTGAGCCACCATGCTGTTGCTGGGAATTGAACTCAGAACCTCTGGAAGAGCAGCAAGTGCTCTTAACCTCTGTACCATCTGCCAGTCCAACCTTTGGCAATTTAAACATCCAGGCTTAATCCTATCTTACTTGACCCCAGTAAACCATTAGGATCTTTTGAGTGATTGTCAAAAGGACAGACAGCCTCAATAAATGACAAGTCATTAAAATCACATATACAATTTTGGATCCCATCAATGCTTGAGTCACATGCTTACTGAAGAGCAGCTAGACTCATCAAAACTACCTTTATAATAAATTTACTCAAAATTTTCAGTTTTTGGAGTTTCCTTCATAAATATGCCTGTAAACATGAAAAATTTATAATTACTGTGTGTGTGTGTGTGTGTGTGTGTGTGTGTGTGTGTACAAGCCAGGGAAACTCTCTCCTCAATAGCTTCTTTACCTTGCTTTTGGGAATGCCTCTCATTGGGCCTGCAGCTAGAAGCTGGCTTGCCAACAGATTCAAAGCCACTCCTGTCCCCATCTACACAGGCTAGGATTATAAGCATGTGTTGTAGGACACATGTGCTTCAGATAACATTTGGGTCTTCATACTTACATAATAAGCTCTTTTCTGGCTAAGCCATCTTCCTGAACTCCCAGATTCATAGTTCTACAGAGTTATTTATTAAACAGTTTGGAAAAGGAAATGATGAAGGCTAAATATTCTACAAAAGAGCTGTAAAAAATACTGCATACTTATGAAAAAACAAAAACAGGTGGCTGGAGAAATGGCTTAGCAGTTTAGAGCAGTGGCTACGGTTTCCAGAGGACCCAGGTTCAATTCCCAGGCCTACATGGTGGCTCACATCCACCTATATAAAACTCTAGCGCCAGAGGATCTCATGCCCTCTTCTGTTCTCCTTGGGTACTGAACCCAAACTGTGCATACAAACACAGGCAAACACCCATACACATAAAAAGAATGAATATTTTTTAAAAGTAACAAAAAAACAGCTAGGGAGAAGGTTCTGGGGTAAAGTGCTTGCTGTGCAAGGATCTAAGGATCTGAGCTCAGACCTGCAATATGCATGTAAGAAGTTGGATTCAGTGACTGGCCACACCCAGCACCATGGAAGTGGAGCTGGAAGATCTGAGGTTCACTGAGCAGTCACAGTCGGTACCAGGTCCATTGAGTGACCTTGTCTCAAAATGATAGAAAAGACTTACACAAGACATCAAGTGTCTAACTCTGCCTTCTACAAGTGAGCTCCTGTGCTTGCCTGCTCCTCTCTCTCTCTCTCTCTCTCTCTCTCTCTCTCTCTCTCTCTCTCTCTCTCTCTCTCTCTCTCTCAAAAAAAAAAGCCTGCATATTCTAAAACAGAACTCTTCAATACCAATTAGGTGAAACAAGAAAGCTAGCAAACAGCAAACAGAGGGTCTTACTTTTGTGTCATCAAGGGAGAATAAAACAGTAATATATTTATCTATGCTTGAACATGCATTTCAAGAACTCTAGAAAAACAAAACCATAACCGAATGTCTCCTTTTTAGGTGGAGGATGGCAAGTATACAAATGAGGTAAGACATGGAATTAAGCTTTGCTTAATGCCAAACAAAACAAGACTTTAAATGTGATCACATTAAACAAGCAAAATCCAGTAGCAAAGTTTGCTTTAAACACTGCACTGAGCTCAAGTCTCAGCAGCAGTTAGCCCAAGGATAAGATGCACTTACAAACTGCTGCACTGGGAGGGCTGCCATCTCTCTCTTATAATCTAGTAATAGCATTCATCTCTAGTGCCAAATGTTCAAACAACTAGAAGCCTGTACTCTTCAGTGAATTAGCACATAAGCCAAGCAGGCAAACGCCCTGTCCATGCACTCACATTTGTTCTTTGTGCTAGTGCAGATAGCTTCACATTTCTTGACAAATGGAATTGTCAAACACAAATGTATGTGATCTCCCCAGTGATGGACAGTCTGGCATTTATGACAGTCATGACAGTGAGCCTGGTGCCATGCCAATCCCTTACTGGCTAGTTATTTTCCTAGGCCCTGACTTCCCTCCCCAGCTGACACCACTTGCCCTCTCGTCTCTTCCTGTGCCCTGCATGGTGAGAACTGGAGCATCTGCATGGAGAAAAGCAGAGCACAATATACACCTTACCCACAAGGTCACTCTGTGGACACCTGAGAGGCCAGCAAGGTAAGGTCAGTGTCTACTCCACTGCAGCCACTAACACAACTGTTTCTGGCCATTATGCTTAGAACTCTGCATCTCATGCCTTGAGTGGTTGGTGAAAAGGAAGTCAGGCTGCTCCTCCCAGCATCTTCTGAACCATCTAGTTTTCCAGAGCCTACTACAACATAATTAGCATTCTCCTTCTTGGACTGTCTAAACTCTTCAACAATCTAAAGAAAACACTTTTTATGCTAGTGATTAAAATGACAAGAGGAAAAAAAAAAAAAAAAAACAGCAAAACTGTATCCAC